AGTTCACTATTTAGAGTAGTTTTCAATATTATGAGTAGTTTCCACTATTTTGAGTAGTTTCCAATATTTCTAGTAACGTCCACTTTTATAGCAGGATCCACTACTTAGAGTAGTTTCCACTATTTATATCAGATTACACTATTTCGAGTAGAGATAACATTTGAAACCAGAGTGGACAAGGTAAAAGTTGAGTTTGAAACTGTACGTAGAGCGATCCACCGCGGGTCATTCTTCATGGAGATGCGCACGACGGAGGCGCGCCAGCTGCTGCCGGACGCGTGGGGCTTCGTGTGCCCCGTGCACACGCCCGACGGCGCGCCCTGCGGACTGCTCAACCATCTCACCGTGTCCGCGCAGGTGAGACAGAGAGAGAGAGAGGGAGAAACGCTTTACACATGACACGCGTAAAATGGAAGCAATTCCAACAAACTAATGATTGATTCTTCTTGAAAGCTCTCTTACTGGTGTCAGTGTTCACATTTTATTAGAATTATGTATGACGAGCTGTCGCCCGCAAATTTGAACCACCCGTTACGCCGCCATTTTGACAGCGCGGAATTTAAAACAAAGTACCCTGTATGCCTATCCATGTCAGCTACCCTCAAGTGAAGTCCCGTCGAAATCGGCCCAGCCGTTTCGGAGATTACCCGGAACAAACGCGGCTTGCGGACAGCATCAACGCAAATACATCATCTTCCCGAAATCTGGAATTTTTCTTTTGATATCACAAACAGAAACTCCAATTTTATTATATGTATAGATAAGTTATTTAATTCCATAGGTAACACAACATCCTGATCCGAAGTTATTGGAATCTTTGCCGTTCGTGTTAGAGAAATGCGGTAAGTGTAATATTATTTCATTTTATAGAATTATTTATATATTTTTATTATATCTATAAAGTAACCTTAAATACAGCTATTATCTGAATTTTATACGCATATCCAATTTTAAACTTGTAGCTTAAATCGATTTGGAGGTTTTATTCTTATTCTTTAGAGTGATAGTTGAGACAGGGCCGCCTTTAGGATAGGGCGTGGCTGTCCACACTGCCCAGGCATTCGCCCAGGGCGATAGATAAAAAGGGTTGCTTCGGTTATGATCGTCGTCAGAGAGTAGACTACATAGTATAATTGAATAATCTAAAAACATTTCGAAATATTTAATGGTTCTGTAATCTAGTGTTAGGAACAAAATTATTACCGTGCTATAGAATTGGTGCAACTCTAGATTATCGGCATAAACGTCACGTCCCTAGCTGACAGCTGTCAATGTCACTAGAAGTATGCATAGATTGGCGCGCATCCAGAGTCCTGGCGAGAAGTGTGGCTCTGAGTTTAAAGCGACAGTATCAATTAAATAAGTTGTCTAAAACTAGATCAAGCCTAGATCTTCAGTTTTGTAAATTACACAATTTTACATAACCCTGTTGACCCCAATAGAGTAAAAACGGCCGTAAAAATCTTGACCAGGGCTCTAATAATGCTACAATTGCTGAGGTTTATTGTTTTTTTTTAATTTATTGTTTGCACAAAGGTATGCAACCAATAAGTTCAGTGTCGCAAACTCCGTTATCTCAAGACGTGTACAAGTACCCAGTGTTCATCGATGGCCGGCTGGTCGGGTACTTCCCTGAAGATACTGTGGACAAGTCCACAGCGTACTTACGTACTTTGAAGATAAAGGGAGAAGAAATGCCTATCACTACGGAAATCGTTGTCATACCGAAGAAACAGGTGAACATCTCTTTCTCTAACTCTCCTTCACTCTAACTTCTCTTTTCTTTTGTACTTTTATACTCTTGTAATAAAGAGTAAACACACACTTCTTTGTTGCCTAAGATGTCAATTACAGCATATTTATGAATAATTCTTTTTTCAATAAAATACCCTACACTTACGTCACGCTTTAGGCTATATATTTTCACGACATTAAACTTAAGGGGTAAATATTTTGCATAAAAACCCTAATGTGGGAAAGAGAAAATAAGTTGCTGCCAATATCAAGGAAGCAAGATTGCCAAGGTTTGTAATGTCATGTCATTTTGACATTTGTTATTGATAATTTGACAAATGTAAACAATAAAATAAAATTTTCATAATTTCATGCGGGTGAAGCCGCACTGGAACAGGTATTATTGATATTTGACAGGGTTGAAGTACATAAAAGTATATCTTTTATGCATATTCTGTCAAAGGTAGATATTGTATCAGAAACTATATAACTTGTTGCGTTTGAACTATAACGGTCGTTTACTGAAACGACTGAAACTTTTAATATATCCCCCTCGTAAATGATATAATCACGCTTGTTATAATTTTGACGTCTCCCAGATTGTTTGAATTTGTATTGAATTATTTAGTTACTAGCTGTTGCGACTTCGTCCGCGTAAAATTAAATAATAATGTAAAAAATATAGTCTATGTTACTCATAGATAAATTACCTTTCTAACGGTGAAAGAATTTTTACAATCGGTCCAGTTTTTGAGTTATTTCAATACTAGCTTACGTCCGCGACTCAAAAAAACAAAACTGAGTAGCCTGTGTTCTTCCAGACTATCGTCTACGTCTATGCCAAATTTCATCGAAATCCGCTCAGCTATTTAGGCTACAAACTCTAACAAACATCCATACATCATCCATGTATGGACCCATCTAAACTTTCGCATTTATAATATTAGTATGATATACAAAAATACAAATCTTTCCCCTTTATAATATTAGTACAGATTTGTATTGAACAAAAGATATTGTTTTGAACAGATTCTTCTCAGCATAAGGTTTAAAAATTAGATACCCTACTAACTTGTATATTCTGCAATATTTTTAGATTTGTTCGCAATATGCCGGCGTGTTTCTATTCACAACGGAAGCTCGTATGATGCGGCCAGTCATCAACCTGAGCAGTGGCCAGCTGGAGCTGATAGGAACTATGGAGCAGGTCTACCTGGACGTGGCTGTAACACACCAGGAGATATACAAAGGTAATACGAATGGGGTAATGGGTATACAAATTAAGGAGTAAAAGTTTAGCATGGTATGGGCATGTTACAAGGACGTTAGTTATGAGTGAACACCGGTATGGGTAGACATAGAAAGAGATGGATTGTTCGAAAGGTGACATGATCAAGAAGAGAGTGACTGAGATGACGTATGACAGAGTTATGTGGAGGACGAAAGTCTATCGCGTCGACCCTACGGGAGTAAAATAAGGGGGGATGGGATTACGAGTGGGAGAGATGCAAATAGAAGTTAGTGACAAGACATAAGTTTCGTTGTACTTTCTTTTTTTTTTGTAACATAAGGTGCGGCCTGAATTCACCGAAATGGAAAGCGACCACTGCACATAAACACCCGCAATTGCAGCGTTGTCTACCCTTCATTGACGGAGGAGACGGACATAAAGAGGATATTTTCTCTTCCTAAGCGTCTCCTCCACCATCAAATCCACTTATCCTTTCCATCCTCTTCTTTTAAGAAAAGGGTGGAAAGTGAAAGAAACTAAAATTGTGCCCTCCTACTTCAAAGTGTATAAGACATCTACATTTAATTTTTTTTTAAATGTTTGATAGCAATTGGTTAAATGATTTGACAGTGCCGAAAAAACACGTGACATAAAAAAGGGGGACAAACTACAAAGTCTTTTGTAAACTTGTAACCCCCCTCCTCCCTTTTAAAACTAGTAAAAAGGGGGCAATATAGAATACTAGCCTAGGTTAGTAGATTTGAAAATATTTCAGGAAAAACAACACATTTGGAGCTGTCAAAGTCAGCGTTCATGAGCAACTTGGCGCAATTAGTGCCGATGCCCGACTGCAACCAGTCGCCGCGGTGAGTCTTATTGCAACTTGCATAGAGTTTAAAATTCCAAAGCTATCAATCTTCGTCAATTGTCAAAAAGGTGATAATTCTAGCTAATTTATCAAATATTCTATTTCAACGTTATCTGTGTAAATTACATTAATGTAAAAAAACTGTTTTTGATTATTTACATTCCGTAAAAGCCAAAAAATCAAATTAATGTAATCATGGTAGTGTTTTTTTTTTTCTGCTATTGACTTGTAGTTTTTGTTCCCTTTCTCGCAAAACAGTTTTTACCAATTCACTCACCTTCAAAATATAAGAGCGTTATAGTATGTAGTTAAAAGCGTGTCTTAAGTGCAGCATTCTTTTATTTAAAAAATTTGATTCAAAAATATGCTATGATTGCTGACATCCTACGTAACTGTGTGTTTACGTTTTATTTTGACATCTCTCCAGTAACATGTACCAGTGCCAGATGGGTAAGCAGACGATGGGCACGCCGATACATACGTGGGCAAGCAACGCGGAGACCAAGTTATACCGGCTGCAGACGCCCGCCACGCCGCTGTTCCGCCCCACGCACTACGACCGCCTCGGCCTCGACGACTACCCGAGCGGCACTAACGCCATTGTTGCCGTCATCTCCTATACTGTCAGTATTTTAGGGGTATTGTATACTTTGGGGGGGGTGAATGGCTTGATTAGGGGGGTTTCGTATTTGGGTTAGGAATTTCTTTATTTGGGAGATTGTCTCCATTTGGGGGACTTATTACATTAGGAGAACTAGATCTGCATTTGGGGGACTTTGGTTTCCATTTGAGTATTTTGGCTTCATTTGGGGCATTTAGGCGTCATTTGGGAGACTTTGATATCCTTTTGGGGGATTTTGGCTTCATTTGGGAGACTTTGATATCCTTTTGGGGGATTTTGAGTTCATTTGAAGGACTTTGATCTCCATTTGGGGTATTTTGGTTTCATTTGGGAGACTTTGTCTATTTGGGGGACTTTGTGTCCATTTGAATGACTTGTGCTCTATTTGAAAGATTTGAGGTCCATTTGAGTGACCTGATTTCCATTTAAATCTTATTATTTCGTCTTGATTCGATTAAGTTGCTTCTTGTTCTCTATTTGAAAGACTTTAGAGATCCATTTGAGTGACCCTATTTGCATTTGGGAGGGGGCTTGATTTCTCTTTGGAAGACTTAAATCTTATTATTTAGTCTTGATTCAATTTAGTTGCTTGACTATTCAGTCTACTTTAATGGTTAAAAATTAAGAATGCGTTTAAAATTTTCTATAGATGAACATTTTAATACCATTCGATAAAATCCTATTTTATTTATGACTGATTTTGAAGTGAATATTTTAGGGCTACGATATGGAAGACGCTATGATAATCAACAAATCTGCATACGAGCGTGGTTTTGCTGCGGGTTTCGTGTATAAATCGGATTTTGTTGAACTAAAGCATTCGTCTTCATATTTCTGGCGTGATCCTTCGCGGCCTGAACTCGCTCCGCATATAG